GTTTGTTCTTGGAAGTTTTAAAGCTGGGTGTTAGTAAAAGAAGAAACACTATTGGGGGGGTCTCTGCCACCCCCCACCCCCCCGCCCCTTACCATTGCAGGTAGGATCCTAGTCATGGCACTTGGTCCCTGTGAAGCGGAAGGAGCTCATGGCCCATAAAAAAGTTGGAATGGTCTTGAATGATGGCTGTTTATCGACCTGTTTAAAATGCTCTCTTGTGTCTGAGAGACTGTGGCACGACTTCCTTCAGCCCCCTTTCAATGAGGGTGCGAGGACTCATTCCACACCCGGAAGCTGGCATTTCCCCAGCTCCTAACACTGCAGGACGGAAGGAGTCGGTTCATGTGAAACCTGAGCGGGAGCAAGCTGTAATGACGACCGCTCTTTTTACCAAGCCATTGCTAGTTCACAGACAAACTCTTGGTTGTAAAATGAACTCTTGGAGGACCCTTGAAAGGAAGCCTGCACAAACACTCATGAAACTGTGACAAATCTGCCTTTAGAAGTGCTCGCCATCCCATCTGCCCTGGCACGCCCACGCCCACTCTCCTGGGTCCAGCCACCCAGAGGAGGAAGGAGGCAGGGGCACCCATCTCGGGCCTGGCCTCCCACACCGAGCTCAGGTGTAAAGCTCACAGACATGAGTACAGACACTTATTTAAAACAGACACCACCTCCTGCTCGCCTCCCAGGGGCTCCAGGCTAATACATTGGCGTCAATAAGATACACTAATTGGGAGAACAATGGCTGGTCCTCAGCTGCTGCCTCCTGGCTCCCAGCTCCTGCGGGTCCTGGCAGCCACAGGGACTTGTCCTGGCAGCCACAGGGACTTCTGGGGGCAGGGGGATGGGATGGGGGAGAAGCAGAGGAGCCTGGGGGCCAGCCTGGGCCTGAAGAAAAGTCAGGGGACCCTGTGCCCCAGCCTGCTGGGTCTGGTCCAGGCACAAGGAGGCATCCTTAACCATTTGGACTGAGAGTTCCTTTGGCAGAAATGGAAAGGACCCGCGGGTACATTTTCCTGATAGAAAACCCAGACACACGGTCGAAACGTGTTTACCCATTTGCCGTGTGCCAGAGGCAGTGTCAGGAAGATGATTGGAGGCTGAGCTGTTGCAATGTTTAGGGCATTTCAATGGTTACGGGAAGCAACAGGAAATGCCACTGTAAATCTTCTCTTACCCAGAAAACCCGTGGCCGCCACATGCAGGCCTTCTGTGGTTGCTGCATGAAGACAAATATTTTCCTTGGCTGGATCTCCATAGCCAGCATGATTATTTCTGTCTAATATGTTTACTTCTCCAAAGAATAATTCTGGCAACGTCATATCCATTTAAAATATACGAAGGAAACATTGCTTTTTAGGCGACTGGGACACTCACACCTCTTTTTACCTCCCTCCTTTGATCTGTGCAATTTTCCTGTACTTGACAATACCTGCGTCCTCCGTTTGGCCTGCGTTTGTTCGCCCAGGGAGCGTTCTTTCCAGCGTGCTCCGAGATGTTCCATGCCCGCCTCAGCACAGCACCAGGTACACAGAGGCACTCTGTTCGTGCAGGTGCATTCAGGGGCGCTGTGCAGGCCGGGCCCTGCCCAGCTCCACGCACGGCCTTCCTGCTGTAGTCCAGTGCTGCCCATAGAAACTTCCGCCACGATGGACCTGTTCTTCCCTCTGCGTCGGCCAGTACCATCGTGGCCACTGACCCCCGGACATGTGGCTGGTGTAACGGAAGAACTGGATTTGTCATTTGGGTTCATTGCAGTAGTCACACAAGGCTAGTGGCTACCATCCCCGGACAGTCCAGTTTATAGGTTCAGGACAGCTCTGCCTTCATTCATTCATACGTTCCTTCGACAAATATGTTTGGAGCTTCAGCAGTAGGTAGCTGCTGGGCTAGGCTCTGTGGATACAGGATTCCCGGCTCTCAGGGAACTTCCAGTCACCATGTGGTGAGGGGGGCCTGTATCGTGTGCTTGCCTACCCAGATGAGAGGCGGGGTCTATCTAGCCAAGGGAGACATTTTCCCACAGGAGATGTTTAAACTGAGTCTTAAACTAGGAGAACTGCACACCACAAAGAGAAAGTGAATGAGAGGTTTCAGGAAAAGAGGCTGTTGAATATGCCTTCGCCATCTGATTACGGTGAAACAGATCCTCTGTGGTTAGCGGTGCGAGATCACTCTCAAGACTATTTGCACAAATGTGTTGGAAAGAAAAAGCTCTCGACAAAGGTTTCCTAACTGCCGGGATTCCCAGCTGGGGCGGGGTCTTGCTCATTCCTGCTTGGTTTTAAAGGCCAAGCGCTTCCGCGCGTCTCCCCTGCACGGATACCACAGAGCATTTGACCACTGTGTCCTAGAGGGGCTCGCGGACCACCCTCATGTGCACACATCGCCGTGACCTACTAGTGTTTCTGCAGGTGGATCCTCAGAGGCCGCAGGGCAGGTCAAAGGGCTCATTCAAAGCCCCGACGGCATTTCCAAAATGCTCTCTCAAAAGGCTGTCACAAGCTAAGCCTCCACAAAAATGCAGGAAACTGCCTGTCTCCCACTCCTTCTGGTGACCATGTGGAGGAGGGTGGCTTGGAAGGTGTGCCAGAGGCTGGCGGCCCGGCCCTGTCCCTAGCATTTACCATCCCTGTGCCCAGTGTCCTCTGCCAGCACCGGATGCTTGGTGCCTGGGGCCTCTCTCTGGGCCTGAGCCCAGGATAAGGCAGGCCGGACTTGTGACATTTGGTTGGGAGCCATGAGATGCTCGGGAATGTAGGAATCACTAATGACTTGCCATTTGCCATGACAAAGGGACACAGCGAGTGAGGTCTCCGGTCCAGGGCCAGCAGAGTCCGTGCCGGCTGGGGTTGGAGACAGAACTAGGGACACAAACTCAGGGAAGAAAAGGAAGCAGGAAGGCCAGACCGATGTCTGGAAAGAAGAAGCGACCGCTTCGTGGCCTGGGCACTAAGTCTTTTCCTGCCGAGCTTGTAGGCCAGCCTGCACAGGCTGAGGCTGCTTTCTCCACCACCAGCAGGGGGTGCCCCTCCCCTGATCAGAACAGGCCTGCGGCTGGGGACAGCCTCCCTCTCCGCCCTCCTGGCCCCGGGGCTCTGCATTTCCCTAAGACCCAGACTTCATTTCTTTACACCTGACTTCCAGCTCAGCTTTAACCATCAAACCACTGTGTAATATAATATTTACCTCCTAGGGCTGTGAAAAGCAAGTGAATGATGGATACAAGGAAACAGCAGCTGGCATACTACAGGTGCTTAGAAAAGGGAAATTATTTCCTTTGTCTCACAGAGCCGGCCACAGCTGCACAGTAAGGGGAGAACGGGGGAGCCTGTCCTGGATCCAGGCCTAAGGAGCCCTAGTGCTCTGAAGCACCTGCCTCTACGTTTTCTACGTTACCTTCCTCCCCACCCCCACTCGCTCCAGTGCCTGGGACTGGCTGAGGCCAGTGGTGCCATCTGGACAGGGCTCCCCATTTTCCAGATTCTGCCCTTCAGAGCATTTTCCAATCCTCTCACTCCCTTCTATCTCTCTCCAGACACCCCCACAAGCCCCAGGACCGGCTGGGATGAAGTGATCCCAGGGCCCTGTGGTCAGGCCCGGCTCCAGGAGGGTGCACTGCTTTGTTCAGTGTGCTGTTTCATTCACAGGGTTGTGTGCAATCAGCTGCCAGAATGACGCTGAGACAAGATTTTGAGTGAAACCAAATTGTTTGTATAGACAGGGACCCTGCAAAAAAACAAAACAAAACTTTTGCCCAGAATCCCTGATACCCATGAGCAGCTGTGTTTTCGGGTCTGCCATATCCACCTTTCCCCCTTTCCCATGGCTCCGTCTTTGGCCTATAGTTGTAATTGTTGATCTCAAAGCACCTAACTGAAGAGTGGGACATTTTGTCAGTTTCCTGGGTGATGCTATGTATCATTATTCGTCATCATTCCTTCAGCAAGTATTTATGAACCTGCTGTGTTCAAGGGCTGGGGAGAGCACGGGGAACAAGATGATTCCTGCTCTCCCAGAGCTCACAGGCTGGGTGGGCGGGGGAGTCAGAGAGGCAGGCAGGTGGGTATAGCTCAGCGAAGGTGGTGTCAGGCAGGCGCTGTGTGAACTCAGAGAGGCAGCCTCATGTGGCTGAGAATGGGACCTCAGGGGGCCGTTGAGGGAACTGTGCCTGGGATAGGGAGCCCCACTTCCAAGTACTTTTCCAAGCGTAAGATCACGCCTGGACCCAGATCTTTCCGCTGCTCCAGGCTATATGTGAGCTCGGTCCCCGCCTGTGCATGTTAGCTAGGGCCGAATGCACTCCCCACGCCTGAGCTAGAAGGGACCAAAAGGGATCATCCCACCAACTCTTCACTGTGCAGTTGCAGGAACTGCGGCTCACAGAGCAGTGTCCTGCCCTTGTGAGAGGTTAGTCACCCACCAGGACTTGCACTTGGGTCTGTCTCGAAGGCCGTGGCTTCTCCCAATTAACTCAAGCATGGGACAAGGCCTAACCCCGCCTAGGGCAGAGGAAACCGCCCCCTTTTTAAGGACCACCCTTCCCCCAGCAGGTGTCACAACCTCTCTCACATCCCCAATTTGGGATCCAACAACTCTCAATCAACAAACATTCCTGGAGAATCTTTCAGAAGCAGGTGTCCGGAGGAGGACCAATTTCCGCCCCCCAAGAAGCCACAGTCTGATGGTGGAGGGGCAGATATAGGACAAACAGGTGAAACGCTGGGGCCTCAGCACACGCTCTCCGTGCGCTTGGCGATGAGCAGGCGCACAGGGGAACGGGCGCTCCTTATGATCATTTTCAAGCCGGTGCGCAGAGAGGCCGTGGGTGGGTGAGAAGAGAAAGGGCTTTTCCTGGTCCAGGCTCCGCGAACCTTTCCCGACGCGCCGGGCGGGGACGCGCGGGAGCATCCCTCCCTCCTCCTCCTGCGTCCCGGTCCCCGCTCGGCGCGCGAGGGGAGTGGCGCGGGCGCGCGCACGCAAGGTGCCGGGGGCGCGCCGCGCCCGGGGACGCGCCCGGGCCGGTCTCTGCCCTAATGCGGCGGCGAGAGGCGCTGCAGGGGACGCGGGGGTAGTGGCAGCGCCGGCAGCGGAGCGCGCGGGCTGCGCCCAGGGCCGGAGCGGAGCCCCTGGAGGTAGGTGAGCTCCGACACCGGAAAGATGGGGGTGGGGGCGCAACGGGGAACATGGAAACCTAGGTAGCGACTACCCCGCTTTTCCCGCCCTCCCCTTTCCGTCTCCATCCCCGAACCTGTCCCCATCCCCCTCTGTCCACATCCTGACCTTTCTTTCCACCCCGTCACCTGCTCTGACTCCATCCTGTTCTATCCACGTCTGCACCCCACTCCCTTCCAGCTCCCGACCCCCTGCACACCCCACACCCGCTCTCTCTCACCGGCCACATCCCTTCCCCCTTCCTGCATCCTCACCCTCCTTCCCATTTCCTCTGCCCCGGTGTCCCGGAGCCCTGCCTCCGCGCGCCCTGCCCCGATACCTCTGTTTACTTCCACATCCCACTTTGTAGGACCCCCACCCCTTCCATCCTGCCTTCCCTGTCCATCAGGCGCTCTCCCTGCCCTCCCTGCCCTCCTCCCTGCTGCATCCCCCATCACCGTGTGCTGTCTCCCAGCTCTTTCACGGTCCTCTCCAGGTCTCCTCTGCGCACCTGTCCCGGCCTCTCCCAGCTGCCTCACAGTCCCTCTAAGGAACCCCATCTTCTCTCTCCTCCTTGGTGTTACCTGGCCTGCCCTCCATCACCTTCCCCACCTGCCCTTCTTGGTGATGCCTGGAGCCACAGGGCTTGTACTGAGCCTTTCACCTGCCACTGGGCCCTCCTTCCCTGCTTGGGGAGGCCTCCGACTCTGCAGGCCCCGGGTCCTCGCTGTTGCCACTTATAACCTTTTTCTGCATGTTTGATCCTGTTCATGGTTTGGGGGCGAAGGATGCTTGGGTTGGTAGGCCTCTCTGATATCACCCTCCCCTTAGCTGTTCAGGTTTGTTTCCTAGAGGAACTGGGGGAGGGTGCTCAGGATGGGGAAGGGCTGGGTCTGAGGACAGCGGAGGAGCCTCTTCCTGGGCTTGTTCCGGGCCCTGGGATGCAGGGCCGGAGAATTTCGGACGTTAGAAAGGCTGCTTCCTCAGCTTCGCAGTCAGCACTTTGGCTTTAGGAGCTGTCATGAGTGTGGCCAATGGGCTGGGCTGAGAGTGGGCAGAGTGCTGAATCACCAGACTGGTGCCCACGGCAGCCCCTCTCCAGCGGCCTGAGCCAGGCGCGGCTCCTGGTTCCTGGTTCCTTCTTGGCGTTTGGCAGTGGTGAGTGTGTGTGTGTGTGTGTGTGTGTGTGTGTGTGTGTGTGTTGGACGGAGATGCCTACTCCCTCAGTCCGGAGGGGAGGATGACTGTGCCTCTTTTTCTGCCTGTCTGTCTCCCTGGGATGAGGGCCTGGTATGTCTTCTCTACCCTGGGCACTGTGGTGAGCCCTGCTGGGCCATATTCAGATCGTCAGCAAGGGCAGACTTGCAGGGCCGGAGCTGAACTGTTTGTTTGGGGTCAGAGAATGGCAAGCTCAGAGCCCAACAAACTTGAGACGTAAGTGGGAGAAGCCGGGGGAAAATGTGTGTGGAAGAGGAAGGCCCTGGGGAGAGGGGCCAGAGGAGCTGGGGGAGTGGGGGGCAGAGAGAAGAAGGAAGGCAGAGGGAGGGCTGTCCTCCCCTGGTTTGGGGATCAGGGGATCTGGTGGGATTGCATTGCAGAAAGACTGAAGGAGGTGAGTTGGGGGTGGGGGTGGGGTCTGCTATGAATCTAGTACTTTCTACCTTTCATTTTGACTGAGCTGGCATTTCTGAGAGAGTAATTTCTCCTACTTAAGATTCTACTGAGTGTGTGTGTGTGTGTGTGTGTGTGTGAGTGAGAGAGAGAGAGAGAGAGAGAGAGAGAGAGAGAGAGAGAGAGAAAATAACACATATGAGGAAAGAGCCATTTACACTTTGCCCCACAAATTGTGTTCACCCCATGAAACGGAGTGGCAGCCCAATTCCTGTCTTGGGGACCTCAGCTAACACCCAGAGGCTGAAGTTGGAGGTTCAGAGCAAATTGCTGTCCCTTCTCTGCCAGGCTCCCTCACTTTACAAATCTGAGTGGTTGGACTCAGCACGTGGGCCACAGCTCTGAGCGGGACTCAGGCAGCGCCTGGCAGGGGGCATTCGGCTGGGGGACTAGCTGTCCTCTGCTTTGTCGCCCTTCTGCGCCCCTCCCATCAGAATGGGGGTGGGACAGGAAGCTTCCCTGGCATTTCCTGGACCAGGAGGAGGCATCACCTGCAGCCATCCTGGAGAGCTGATTGGATTAAGGTCCTGCCACTGAAATGCTTGATTGGAGCTCAGGTTAAGTGGGGGATTCTGATAGCAATGGACATATTTCCTAATTTTGTGAAGTGAACCTCAGCCCACGTGCCTTGTTTGACAGCGTGCAGGCTACACGGAGACACTCAGAAAGAGGAGCCAGCTCTCTGAGAGCTCCCCCTGGCTGAGAGGCTGGCTTGTAGGGCTGGTTCTCTCAGGGACACATGGAGGAGGCGGTTGATATCTGGGGGGTGAGGGTGTTCTGGATTCGGGTATCTGAGGGGAGGAGACACAGAAGAGGGTCCCGTTTCTGCAGTGACTGAGGGACAGGCTTCCAAGGCTCCCATCCCTCTGTGGTTGCAACTCGTTTCCTTCCCCTGGTGCCACTGTCCTCCAGAACCATCCAAGAGCTGGGCACAGGGATCATCACTTGGTCTTTAGAAAAAGAAATTCTTCGGAAACCGGACAGGGAGAGGCAGAGAAGTTCACTCAGGCCTCTGTCTGTTTGCCTTGGGAGGAGGGAGAAGGAGGCGAGAGGAACTTAAGATGGTTCCATACTTACTCCTTTAACAAGTACTCACTAACCCCTACCATGTGCTGCCCTGCTGGGTGCTGGCATCCTAGAGATGAAGAGCAATACAGGTTTGGTCTCTCAGAGCTCCCAGTGTAATGGAAAAGAGGCAAGTAATCAGACAAATTACACAGATAAGCTTGAGTGAGAATATCGGGCCAGGGGTGGCCAGGGGTGTGGAACGGCAGCGCCTTCCCCCAGTGGTATTAGCCCCTTCTCCTCCACACCTGTGAGGGGGCTGGTTGATGCTCTCCTGAGCGGTAGGTCCGGGCTGGCTCTCGAGTGGACTGTGAGGAATGGGTGGAGGAGGAGGTGAGATGAAAGATGTCACCAGATCCCTGGCTTGAGGGGGAGGACTGCCTCGGCCTGAAGGGAGCACCCATAGGGAACTCTGGGACAAGATCGAGGCTGGTCAACTCGCCCATTCCTGTTTGCTATGCACTTGCATTTAGGGGAAAGTGGTCAGGATGTACTGAGAATGTCAGTGAGTCAGAGGATGGAGGCCAGTGTCTGCCCTCGAAGCTCCTGTCTGGAGGGGAAATAGCAAGTCATGCACAGGTCTGCGCTCAGAAGCAAGGTGAATGGGAAGATCGTGAGCTCTGTGGGTGGAAGGTCCTGGAGTTCCGGGGTGTCAGAGTTGGGTGGGAGTCATCAGAGAAGTGGGTGGCTAGTGGGGAGCAGGGGCGATCCTTAGAAGGCGGACGCTTGAGCAGAGGTCACCATGAACACCCGCAGCTGAGCTGGAAGGACTGAGGGTAGAGGCACCCAGCATCATCTTCTGAGGACCCCTCCTCTTCCCCACACACCTAATTTAGTTCATGTCATGAGTGTGTCCTGAGCCTGTGGGTATATATACCCCAGGGACTGTGCTAGGTGTTGGACTATGTCAGGGTGGAGATACAGAGATGTCAAATGAAGACAGTACAAGGTAACAGGAGTTATACAGAATACAAAATAACGGAGATTCGATGGGCTCCTGGCATTGGAGGAGCATGGCCGAGTGATTGCACCAAGCTCTTCGGATAAACCCCTGCTTTGGCCAGAGCAGCTTGGTGTTAAAGTTTTGAGCATTTACTCACAATGCCCAGGTAGGGCCGAGGCCTAGCAGCAATGGCGGATACTAGATACTATGGCCTGGTCCTTGGGACTGCAGGGGAGGGCTGGGAGCTCATGGCTGGGCTGGGTGCGTGGGTGGGCACTTCCGCAGCTTTGCTGACCCGGAGCATTGGTCGGGTTGTGCCAGCCACCCTCCTCCTGAACCACCCTCCTTTTATTAGGTCTTGAGGCAAGCCAGGAAAATGTAAAGTGGAATAATACGAGTTATCCTTATAGAGTGCTTACTACATGCTACACACCCTACTCTGGGCTTTATATACATCGTCTCATTTAATCTTCACAGGAGTTAACCCTACTTAAAGAAATAGTGTTAGGATCCTGGTTTTACAGATAAGGGAACAGACTCAGAGAGGTGGTTATTTGTTTAAGACTCTAGAGCAGGCGAGTTGCAGAGCTAGAATTTAAACCTATATGTGTTTGATGTCCAAGCTCCTCTCCTTTGTATTGTACTGAGCTCCCCTCCCTGGTGGAAAAATAAAGAACTGGGATGTACTTTATCTACCTGCACCGGGTTTTTCAAAATGCTGACACGCCGAGCTCAAAAGGTTCGCCATCACTGTACTACGTCCTTCTGAAGGATACAGAAATGTGGTGCATGCTTTCACACAGGGGAGCGAAGACAGAAACAGGTGAAACCTCTTGGGAGTAATACAAGGCAGTTTCTAATTAAGTCTTCAGACCCTGGGCAGTCACATTGCCTAAGCATGGCTGTTGGAGTCAGGCTTAGTAGAAACTGCTCACCTTTGAGGTCAGACTGAACTACATTCAAACTTTGGTTCTTCTGACTAATTGAGGAGCTGTAGCCTCCCAGTCTGGAAAATGGGGATATTGACATGAACCTTGCAAAAATAATACAAGGATTAAATGCAATAAGGTCGTGAAGATCGCAGCACAGTGCCTAACAGGTAGCACACAGTCAAATGCTGTCTTCTGTGCACAGAGGAGGTGGGAATGGAAATGAACCTTGGAGACCTGTTGGACTTCTGATGGGGAGGGAAGGGGAGGGTATTCTAGAGGAGGGAACTGAAGTTTGGTGGGTGCAGGCTCTCTGGGAAAGCAGTCACCTGCTGTATCTGTCTGCTCTCCCAGGTTCCTGCAGTAAAGCCTT